GTTTTGTTTTCAAAAATCCGATATGGCAGCCTAACTATGTGACCTGCCAGCATACTTTTATCTTCACCTAGCCTGTTCAAATCCTGCCAAATGACATGCATTTTCAGGAGCATTTAAAAATAACAGTGGAAACAAAAAAACAAGCTCAACCACCACCAACTTTGCTTCTTGGCTCCATAATCATAACCTGAACAATAACAATAGGTTTCCAGCAACATCATAAACTCGCCTATAAAGACACTTCCCTCCAGATACTCAGTGATGTATTTTTGACTAGTCATAAATACTTGACTAAATTACTCTCTTTCATTTCTCACTTTTACTCTGTGCAATGTTTCTAGCCTGTTTCAAGTCTATAACGTACTGTATGCTGATCGATACTAAAATGCTGCTTCTGGTGATCTTGGGGAAGCCAGCTGAGAACTGGTGCACCCACACACTCATTAATCACCCTTATCTAGAACATGTGATCAATATGCTATTTCAGGTAGATTAGATTATCAACTGCATAAGAACTAAGGAAAAGAGCTGGTCTAATTAACTCAAATAATTTTCCCAGGTCTTAGACTGTAACATTTCCAAAAGCAGAAAACCAGTGAGATGGACTGCAAGTAGCTTAACTGGTGAACGGCCACACCCAGGCACAGAGTGAGCTCTAAGATCTAGGTGACAAGTGCAGGTCATGTCACTAGAAGACTGTGATCAGGATTTCAAGTGGCAATACAAAATTGTTTAAGTGTCACCTGGGTTAGGACTGGGATTAGGCAGCCAGGACTAAGTGTGGTCAGTAAGGGTCACAACTCTTCTCCAAAGGGCACCGAACCTCATATCCTTCACGGAGTAGCTTAGAACATGAATATCTTGAAGCGTGGGTGCCTATCCTCATTTCTTCATTTGGTCCATATTGGTACAGCAGTCATCACTGTGAGCCGACATAAGAAACAACTGGCAACTCCAAATAGGGTGGGCATATAATTAAAAAAAACTAGATTTCTCAGATTTAAAAAAAAATGTTGGACTATGCCATCTCAAGCAACACAGCAGGAGATCCCCGTCTCTGTTAGATGTAAGAACTGTTACAATAAAAAGAAACTATTTACCCCATCGGACCCATTTGGCTGCTAGAATCTTTAGACAGTTTCTAGCACTCTACCCACGCAGAGTTACACACAGTATGGGACTTTAAAAAAAGCTCACTGCTGCCCCTACAGACAGAGTGCTTATGCAGCAACCTCAGGTTATACCATATAATTTATTGTCGAAGACACAAAATAAGCACTTATCAATCCACACCAAGTTGCCAATGGTTTTTCAAAGGCTCAAGGGCCCTATTAGAAATCTGTCAAACAAGCCTTTTAATGTCTTTTCGGCTGGCTTTTTATTAATTAAACTCAAGAGGAGGCTATTATTTCTTAAGCAACATTTTTCTTTTTGCTTTAGTGCTTCCCAGGCTGTATTTTGCTACTGCAAATTATACACAGAGTGAAACTGCCTGATGCTCACCTCTAATTTTAGGTAGCACGATTTACATAATTTGTGGTTTTCAAGAATCAGTCTTTCTTTCCCACTCTCCTATTATTAAAACAATTTGATTTTCCTGGTCTGAAAACACCATAATAAGCAAAAATCTGGAAGAAACCTGTATTTTACAGAGAGGATGATTTCATATATGTAGGTATTATTATCTTTAAGAGCGTCATTATTAATCTCATGCCAGAGTGAAGAATGTCCCAGCACTTGTGTGCAAGTCCCAAGAGGGGTTAAAACACAATTACGTCTCCACAATAGAGGTTCTGCACACTGCCTGATAGTGAATTCCCCACACGTGCCTCTCCAATGAATTTCGATTAATGTCCGGTGTGTGTCAGAACCAAGATAAGGTGCTGGCAACATGTCTCAGAAGTCAGCCAGAGAATGGGACTCCGTGTAAAACATCAGCCTGTATCTAAATCCTCAAGAAACTCTCTTGGTACAATTTACCTTTCACATACTGCAGATAACAGCATAGCTAAGGGGAAGGGGAGGTGGAGGGGAAAACACAGAAAACACATTTCCTGCAAGATTTGTGTGAGCGGGGAAAAAAGCGGGATGTAATCAAAAAAAGCAATTTCAGGTTACTTAAAATTTCGACAGTGATTTGCGAAGAGGCACTTAACCAGGGCTTAGCTAAACTAGCCCAAAGAGAGAGTCTTATTATAAACTTGCCATTAGACAAAATAAATAAATAAGAGCAGGTAGCTGCGACTGCAAGTGGATTTTTGTGCTTGGGGACATCACCGGATACCGACACAAGAAACTCCTGAGAGCACAATCTTTGTCAGCCTGAGATAACAGCCACAGCCGTAGGCTTAGCTAGATTCTCACAGCAGCGGAGAGCAGAAAGGCGCAAGAGTGCAAGCTCAGTCTTGCCCAGGGGCAGCGGCTTATGAGCGTTCAGTGCAAAGCGTACGTCTTAACGCAGGCATCTGGGTACATCTGTTGTTGACAGTATTGGGTTATTAAACACTGCATGGCTAATGAATTACTTCACTTAGCTGCTTATTGTTTATATCCGTTTTAGAGTTTTGCTTCTCTGCTTACATTCAGAGCATCACGCTTGAAAGAAAATACATACACGTAAAATAAAAAACATTTTAAAATTTCTGCCTAGACAGGCATAGTATGTTTTATCTGTTGTCATGCTTCTTATGACGTTCTTATTTTCGATATTTGTGTAAACATATTTACCATGCACGCTGACCTCTCTTTTTTAAATTAATCAATTTTTGTTTTCTATATTACATACATTCATATTATTCATGGACTTTAGCTTGCAGTAATATTGGGATATTAATGGACATAAATCCATGCAAAGTAACCAGGTTTCGGCATTTACAGTACATCTCTCTAAATACCCAGCCAAGGCAATGAATCATTTCTCTCCTTGCCATCAATATGGATAATGTAACCTTATCTGTATTGATGGCAATAATCTTAGCACCGAGCTGACCAAATTCTGTTCTACATCATTGTTATGTTTCAGGCAGAGCACTGTCACCTAATCTTACGTTCAGTCACACACTTTAGTCACACAAAGTGTGACACACTTTCAGTTTGTGAATAAGGCAAATAAATGTATAAACGTGACCTACCACTGAAGTTGGAAATATCTTTGCAGCTGTTACACAGTACCAACAATGTTGAGAGAAAAATAAGTTATGAAGGCAGCTGCTCACAATACAAAAATAAAGTATTAGACCAACTAACACAAAACCTCTGTGAAGTATGACTAAACACAACCACTTACATTATGTAAATGTAAAAAGGTTCAAGCTTACTGGCTCTTTTACAAATCTATCCGCAAAAGCCATGGGTGATTTAAGTGGGGGGAACTGAATGTCTCCTATACTGTTAGCTTTACCTCATAACGGATAAAGAGAATGAAACAATAACAACAAAAAAGTAAGTCAAAGTAACAATTTATAACAAACAAATGGAATAAACAAATATTAAAGACATCCAATCTGTTCTGTAGCATAATATTCACTTATGGTTTTGGTTTTAGGTTTGTCTACTTCTGAACAGAGCCTCAAGGGTTTCCATTGTAAATGTACTTAAACCCATGGCCACAGGTCTGTGCCAGCAGATAGTCAATATAATAATGACACCTGCAAAACGGAAGTAGAAGGTAATCAAGTACAGCAGGTGTTTGGAAAAACACCAACCCACAGCCAGGATCAGCCTCCAGTGCTAATCCTGAGCCAAGATCTAAGATAACCATGTGGCCTGTCTAAGGCTTCAGCCTGAAGTAGCTTTGATGTGTACAAAACCAAGACTGTAATTTTACGGTACCACACACCACAAAGGCCTCCAGACATCAAAGTTAAACAGCTTGGGCCTTACACAAGATGTTCTTGACTGAGCACGCCCCCAGGTGGGAAAAGAAAGAGGCATTTCTGTTTTGGACGATAAGAAGCCTACCTACTGTAAGACTAGAAATCTGAACCTACATAACCGTAGAGATTGTTATTTAAGATCAGTGATCATTCAGAAAAATCACTACGGTTCAGTTTTCACTGAGACTCATTTAGTACTCCACCAAACCATATCAGAATCAAGTCATAAAATTCAAATTACTAGTTAAACAGTCACCGCAAGAGGTAATACAAACAGGAGGAGCTTTTGAGGAGCTTTTCAGAAGAGCAGAATGCATTTGTATGGAACAGGGAGTCGCTCTGATTTGAATCAAGGTTGAGTTTACAAGGGGTTAAAGGAGCCAAACATCCAGTGTGCAAACTTGGTTTCATTTGAATTCTTTAGTTCAACACAATGTTAGAAATTAATCTAGTTCAATAGTTTGAGTTCTCTTTTAACAGTTTCACACCAATTCAATATTCTTTTGTCTTCACATGTTTTAGGACAACTTTTTTTTAATTGCTTACTGTAATTTAAATCCCAGACTATCTCACTGATAAAACTGCACAAAGAAAAGACAGCCACAAACATGTCTGTTTTCATCTAGTTTTGATCCATATTCATTTTCAAATATTTATCTGCAGACCTAAAGGCACTACAAGCATTGTGCAAAACATTGTACAAAAAAAGGTTTGGAACAACTATCCTAAATACCAGTTAATTTAAAATTTAAAAAATAATTTTATAATATATTAAATAATATTCATAAATAAAATATAAGTGAATAGGTCAAGGGCTTTCTTGTCTTACTGCCACTTTTTTTTACTTTGGGAAATTAATAGAATGAATTTGAGTTGAGTTAAGGCAATTAGTATTAAGGCAATTCTTAGTATTAAATTTAAGGTGACTGACTCCATTAACAACATTTACAATGTTCCCCCTTAATTTCCAAGCTTTAAGGCAACAAAATACCAAAAAATTTGCCTTCACTTCTGATTGTGTAAGTTTAAACTCCATCGGACTCATTTTAAAGGCGCCAGCTCGTGCAGGGATCTGCATTTAGGTACACTGCTGTGTTCTTGGGGGCACAGTGAAGGGACACTCACCAGCACCTTGGCCTTCTCTGCCTCCTGGCGTGTGTGGGCTCGTTCCCGAAGGACAGCCAGACTCAGCTCGTCTCGCACCGACTCCCTCTCCTTCCGGGCAATCCGAGCTAGCTCCTCCTGGACCATCGCCTTCTCCCTCTCGTACCTGCAAGAGAGCGTCAAGCAGGTATGGCATCACACCTGTAACCAGAACAGTCTCCAGCACCACAAGAACACCGAACACCCTAATCCGGGCAAAAATGCAAAGCACTTTCTGGACGCACAAAGCATAAAAAAAGTATGAGGGCATAAATTGACCAAAACATTAACATTAACCGAGATTTTTTTTTTTAAATAATGTACATTTTCATCATTACTAAAGTAAAATAGTAAAACTACTATTACAACTTATAGTATTTTCAAAAAATAAAATTACAACCCGCAACACAGAGTTAAGACATAACTTAATCAATATCATCATCATCCCAAGCTTTCAGAGGTATTTCTTTACAGTCAGCAGTTTTTTTTATATTGATCCACTTTTTTGCACAAAATGGACAGTGTATGATCTTGTTTATGGTAATATTTCCTAATGTACTTCAAAGCATTGTGCAGCACAAAAGAATTAACACACAACACCACACTAAAGGCTAATGCAGAGCAATGTTTCAGCTAAATTAAAAAGTACTGATGCAATCATTATACTGTTTTGTAGCCACAGGAGGTCATTCTGCAGACCAAGATCCTATCTTTCTTCATAAAAGACTAAGCTTGCAAAGATTCTCTCTTCAGCAGTTTTCTGACGGAATGATTTTGCTGCAGTTACATCTGCAGCTAAAGAACCTTCAGACATTTTTCCACGTTACGCGTTTGAAAAGGACAGTGAAGATTCAAAGCCAAATGATGCTCTTTGAAAATATTTGGAATAGTAATACTGTGGACTTGGCAGTAGTAATATTAACTGGACTGTTCAGCTGCCCACTGAAGCTGACTACAGTATTCTGAATTTCTTGATGACTTATATTAAACAGGGGCTTCAAAGGCTTGTTATGCATGGTCCCTTTTCCATCAGGACAGCCCACAATGTTCAATGTCTGATAATGACATATTTGTGGGGTTTAACTTATTTCTTAAATAAATGGTTGAGTACCTTTACAGTGTCAGCAACCATTTTTCACTTTTAACATTTAAAACCACAATATTATACCTACAAGCTGAAGAAAAGAAGCTACTTAGTAAACAGTTTAAAAACAGAGAACTGTATGAACAGAGAGAAAACTGACAGATAAACTAATATAAACTAAAATAAACTAAACTAATATGACTAAAATAATATAAAGGTTTAGTCTCAGATCTGAATAACAATGTTTCCAGATTTGTTTCTCTATCATATTAGAATAATATTGTCCCAGAATTCTTCTAAGATACTTTGTTTTCCTTCCAACCCACGTTTAAGGATGTAATACTTCACTTCACCACGGGGTGTCAGACGAACTCCACCTTTTTAAAATACAGTCCGGTCAATGTTAGATCGGAATAGCTTATAAAAAACCCGCACGGCCCTAATAATAAAAATAATAATAATGATAATAAACTTTATTTTATATAGCACCTTTAAAGGTAGCTTCTCAAAGCGCTTAAAACCAATTAAAACCAATGAAAACACCCACCTTCTGTATAATTCCTCTTCTTTCACTGTGACTGTGTGTCCCGAATGCATCTTTGAACCTACAAACAACAAAAGAAAACATCTTCATTATTTTCTTTCACATTTTCAGATTAATGTGATGTTGTTAAAATGTTTGACCACCAACACATTTTGTTTCACTGTTTGTTAAGTGCTTTCACATTAATTAAATGTATTCGCATTTAATGTAATGTTAACATCTTTCTCCAAAGAAAACTCAATCAACAGGTAAGCATCTGCCCCTCATTCACTAATCTTCAGTTAAGCAAAAGTATCAGTTCACCCGAATCACTCTCATCAGTATGATGGAATTAGAAATAAGCAAAATTGTTGAAAAGCTATTTTATTTTTTTTATTGAAATTCTTTTCAAACTTTTTGTACCATCTCTATTATTACACCTATTGATGAAACAGTAACTTGTAAAAATAGTTCACACAAACAAGACAAGACCTGAGGAGTCTTTACTGCTTTCTGTCTGAGAGGACGACCACTCGTCTGAAGCAGAGGGTTTGGATTCGGCTGATTTTTCTTTCATTTTCCTGATGACATCCTCCGACAACTGCCCAGAGAAAACAAGTGTGTTATCATTTTGTCCAGGAAGCGAACCCATACATGTAGACAAACAGCACCTGTAAGTGACAGTAACGCACTTCTTTTCAGTGCTGACTTCACGATTTTAAAGGCTAACTGGACAATGTTCCACATAACAATGTTCCACATAACCCCCCACAGTTTTCACACAGTTTCTTCCCACAAACTGTCAGAACTCTACCCCTACCACTGGCTTTGTATGTTATTTAACTTGTTGTTGTTGCTGCTGTTCTGTGTTTATGTTTTTGGTGATTCTTTTAATGTCTTTGTTATGGAGCACACATGCAAATACGCATGCACTTGTTTATATGACAATAAACTGAACTGAACAAACAATCAAGTCTCAAGGCTGTGTTAAGTAAATTAACTGCTGTCAGAAAAATGTACAACATTCAAAAATCATGCCACCTCAGGACCTTATTGCAACACGTTTTTGAAGAGAAGCAACTTTGGGCCCAGACATTCCTTGAACAGAAGGCAGCTACACCAGATCAGGTCGCTGCTGGAAGTGGTGCTTAATGACCAGCAGGTGAGATTCGCAACTCTGCACCACTAATTCCAAACCTATGCCTGCGTCTGGAGATTCGAGACACTGAGCTTAAAGAGGTACATATTTTTCGATGACACAAAAAACAAGGACCTCAACACCCTGCAATCATAAACGATGCAATCGCTGTATTGTGAATAGTAACCACTGCTTACACAAGTTGAAGAGCACTTGATGAAAGCATAGCATTACAGGCATTTCAAGACAGTGAAATACGAGATTAAAAGGCAAACATGCTCCAAAACTGGAACACAAATTACCACGTTTATTTGGTGAGTAATTTAGAAAGTTAATGTTATATTTCAAATAACCATGAATTGGGCCTGTATGAGAAAACAGCTATTGTTTTTGTTTTGGCGTGTTGATCTACAGGATGACCGTTTGTTTTTGCTTTAACAGTAACATTGGCATTGTCAGTTTCGGCAATTTGGCAGCATTTGAGGCAGTCAGCATCCGATTTGCCTGTTACAAAGCAAGACAGCTTGCAAACCTGCAAGCATTTATCAGAGGTCAACTTTGGTTTGGTGCCGAGAACTGTATAAAGCCATGACTTATGGGATGCTTCCCTAGCCCACATAAATTGCTCCATCCGATGTTAGAAGACAGGATTGCATCTCCAGGCGTTTGTACCCAGTATAAGGTTGTCGACCTAGACTTAAGAGGTGACTAAAAAACCAGATAAAGCTCAGTTTCCATTTTTGCATTTGTTATAAACGTAATACGTTCTCCTTAGCGTGCAGGACCTTTCCAATAAGTTTGCTTTTTGGCAATTGTTCCTTCCTTACCTTGATTCCGTGCAAAACCCTCACCCTGTCTTCCTCGTCCAAACCAAAAGACACCTTTCTAGTTACACTCTCACTCCCTCCCATTGTAAAATGCTGTCCTTCAGTACGACCTTCGGTTATTTTGCTTGGATTATTAAAACACTGATATTCCTCTGCAACCACTTGAAAATCTATGGACCTTTCAGCCTTCGCTCCACATGAAAAGTCATTTTTTTAACATGCCAGTATTGTGAAATGCAATTGGTAGACGTACATGGGAAGCCCAATCACATTGCTGAATGCTACCGAAGGGAACCGGATTCAAGTGGGAACTGTAGTTCAGTAAAAGCAACAACTTTCAGGCGGGGCTTGTTAACGTGCATTATCCCTGTGAGCCTGTATTATCTCAGCCATACAGTGAACATTTTATGTAGCGTCGGCTTGAAAAACGGATACATCTTTCCATTCTTTATCTTTTAAACGGGAACGGGAGCAAGTACAATAACTATACACAAAATCGGCTCGGGAAAAAATGAAAAAGGAATGCCTTTGAGATATTTAGAACCGTTTCTAAATGATTTAATAGTGATTATTATGTACATAGAGATAAGTTATGCACCGTTTTTGTTCAGAAATACTTCCTCCCGTCAACAGCTGATTATGCTATTAGAGATGCAACCAATCTGGTTTCTAAACAGTATTTGTCATTTGTAATTATTGTTGGACATCACAGGCCTACATTTTAATAAACTAACAAGGTGTCATTGCAAGAATTAAATGACACTGGAAGTCTGGTGGTTTTAATTACATTTAATAAAGGATAGACATAATTGTTTTACATATAATTAATTAATAATAATTGCTTACACTTACATAGCGCTTTTCTGGACACTCCACTCAAAGTGCTTTACAGGTAATGGGGACTCCCCTCCACCACCACCAATGTGCAGCATCCACCTGGATGATGCGACGGCAGCCATAGTGCGCCAGAACACTCACCACACATCAGCAATCAGTGGGGAGGAGAGCAGAGTAATGAAGCCAATTTATAGAGGGGGATTGTCAGGAGGCCATGATTGATAAAGGCTGATGGGAAATGTTGCCAGGACGCCGGGGTTACACCCCTACTCTTTTCGAGAAACACCCTGGGATTTTTAATGACCATGGTTTTACGTCTCATCCGAAGGACGGCGCCTGTTTTACAGTATATATATAAGTCCCAGTCACTACACTGGGGCATTAGGACCCACATGAGCTGCAGGGTGAGCGCCCCCTGCTGGCCCCACTAACACCTCCTCCAGCAGCAACCTTAGTTTTTCCCAGGAGGTCTCCTATCCAGGTACTGACCAGGCTCACACCTGCTTAGCTTCAGTGGGTTGCCAGTTGTGAGTTGCAGGGTGATATGGCTGCTGGCTACTATATAGTACCATTATAATTATATACAAAAACAAAGAGTTTCAGAGTTGGCACTAAATTGTTTTTGACAATTATGCTGGTCTGACTAATTGAACCATCAAAACTTAAAACTAGTAAACTAATAATCTGTCTGCACATTAATTCACATCTCATGTTTACTTGATTTTGACAGCCTTAATTACACTCCATTTCAACGTTTTAGTATGTCTAGGTTACAGAGCGTCCCAATCCGAGAGGGAATTTGAAAATTGGGAACTAGAAACCCTTATTACTCCCTAAATACCAATGTTTCCAGCTCTTTATTGTGTATTGGCAGCTACCTCCACATACAGCAGTCCTAATTTTTAAGGGTTAGCTATTTATTGACTGTTTGTGTCCCCTCAACTAAAGCATTTGTAAAGCTTAAACACAGACTGTAGAATTACAGAGGCATTAAAATGCTATGCCATAAAAAAACAGTCCTGCCCCCTTTGTATTACCTATAATTTATCTGCATTTGAGATCATCAGTGAACATCACATCATATCATTGTTGAACTCCAGATACACCTACACTTCCTTTGAACGTGAGGGAGTTCTTTAATTTCCCAATACACTTTGAACACTGGAAAATCTTGCTTTCTATTCTATTTGTCTGGGAATTTGCAATGATTATCTAAACCAAATTGGATTTTCCAAGTACCTCAACATTTTTAATCCGGACTTAAAACTCATTTTTGCACTTCAACTTTCTCGTTTAATTTACCGTTTTAATTTATGTATACCTTCCTCTTTTATGAAATAAAGCTATTACTCCTATATTTACTTTGTCACATTCATACCATGAACAGCTTCCAACCTCAAACTTCCATGGAATTGGATGAAACGATAAGTAAAGACTAAGGCGGATCTAAGAAAAAGTATATACCTGCATTTTTCTTCCAAATTCCAGTAGGCCTACAGAATTATTTAATCTTGGGAGTTTGGATCATAGATTTCAAACCCACTTGAGAGTACTGTTCAAGTAACTGTATATTATACTGTAAATGGATATAAAAGTGCTTATACATGTAAGCACATTACACTGTTTATTCCTTAACCAGCTGAAACAAATACAAAACGTTAGCTTTCAGCTTTTAAGGCATATGTAAGATTTGTTTTTCCCTCTTACCATGAGTTTTCTACTTCTACTTTGGCAAAACAAAATCTAACTAAACATTGACAAAAGAAATAGAAAGCAGGCAGACAGGAAGCGTTTTTAATAATCACTTTCTAGGAATGTTTAACATACCACAATAATACTCTATAGAAATACATACAATTAAATAAAACCATTTTCTTAATAAAAAATGTTTAATTTTTACATGCTTTCATGTTGGTCTTGCAATGATGAATCAAGTGTTGTGTTGATCCCTGCCCTAATACAAATTCCAAGCCTCCACAATTCCACCAGTCAAATACCTCCAACAGAACCCAGGGTCATCTTGAATTCATCTATCTTGATGCCAGTCTTCAGCTCCAGACCAAATTCCATGGGAGAAAAATATTTTTCAATTAGAGGCAACTTCCTCTGAAAACATTTCCCTGTGCAACTTTTATTATGCTGCATCAAAATCCCAACACAGATTTGCCATATTAAAGGGCCAGTTCAAAATTTGGTCACAATATTCAAAACAAAGTGTATCATTTAACATTTAAGAAACAGAAAAATCTCATAGTGGGAAAGTTTCTGTGGTCTATATTTAAATATTTCAATCACTCTTTTTTTAATAAAATACGCAGTCCAAAGAAGCTTAGCCCAAAGTGCAAAAGTTAGAGTACTCTTTCCAGTTAAATTTCACACAGGTCAAAAACCTTTTTCACTGCCAAACATGGATTTAATTCTTGCTAAGAAACATTGTATAATACTTGTGCTGTAATTGTGACATCTGCACCTCTGTTAAACCCTATGAAAGCACAAAAATATTCTGATTTGGCAATTCAGATTTACACAATACAGTATTCAAAAATAATTAAAATTACAAATGTTTCCAATTCACGGCTCACAAAAAAAATGTTCATCTTCACTGTACAAGCAGATGTAACAATCCACATCATCCTATCTATTCCCTGAAACGCAAAAGTCCAGCATTTCCAGATGCAAAATCCAGCCCAGATTATTGCCTTACAAGTTAAGGAAACTAGTTAACTACTGAAGAAGTCTTGATAACAATATAATCCATTTCAGGGGAATCATTAAAGCAAAAAATATTTATTCAAGAGGTGTCAGTGCTGAGAAATAGTACTTAATATCAAGACACTGTATCCTTCTATTTCTGATATACTGGATCTGAGTGTTCCATATAGTTTTCTGAGAACTTATTTGTCTAATACTAGTACAGCAACACATTTCTAGTGCTACTGATAAGGTTACAGCTCCAGATTTTGTAAAGGCCAAAACACAAACAGGGAACTACCACGGTTAAAAATCACAGCTTGTATGCAATCCCGATTTATAAAAATTGTTAAACAAAAGAGGAGGTTACATAGAGTGATATTGGGGAAAATGTTCCAAGTTTGTACAAGTAAAGCAGGAGACTGCATTCATGCATTCACCATGCAATCAATAAAGGAACCAGTAAAGATTTCTTTCTACTTTTCAGCTCCACACTGAATATTAGAAAAAAAACAGTTAAACACATATTTTAGCTATGGATCCTTCTTCAGCCTCCTCATTCCTGAGGTAGGATTCACAGCTGAAACAATGAGTTCCATCCTGCTTCTCAGAGTGCAATTAACATCTGCTTGGTTCTCAATTACAGTTATGGAAATTTTAAGTATTTTTTAATCAGATGTTCAGTACGTTCTCATTAAAACAATGTCTTACTGGGCGGGTCCATCAAACATTAATTACAAACTATGCGCACATAGGAATAAATAAGACTCTTTCTCATACACCTTATTTATATTTTAATGCTCTTCTATAGAATTTCTTTTAGTGCACTAAAGTGGTTAAATTCCAGCACACTGGTCCTACCATGGAAACACAACTTTTCTAAATTCCCTTAATATCAGGGAAAAAGTAACAAAGCAGCTGTTGATTACAGGATAAAAAGGGAAAAAATAATTTATGACAGAAATAAGCTAGTTGACACTGGTTGGTATTTATCCATTTAACTGATAAATTACTGTTTTGGCTGAACATTTGCAACTGCTCCATAAATCATGTTGACTAGAATTTCTACAAACCGAACCCCTCTGGTGAATTTGCTACAGCCAAAGCTATAGCAGTGTTATTACATTGAAGCACCAAAAACAAAACTCTTAAGTGACGATTTAAGTTAAATTAACCCCTCTAAGAAACTCCAGTAAAGTCTCTTATTTCCCATATAATCAAAGCAGCATGTATGTCAGTGTTTCACGCCATCAATAAAGCATTAGTTAAAAGCTTTTTTTAAAAAAAATAAAAGAATCACTTGTAATACAATGTAAATGCTGAGTCTGAGAGAAAATGAGGATGACTTGGCAAAAACCGTGAGGCAAAATGATTTGAGAATTATGTCTGCCAGCTCATTTCCCTTTCTCATGTGGGACAGCAGGGAGCCGAGATTACCTGTTGCAAATTTCAGATTGGAATGTATATACTGTACATTTACTGCTTTGCTCAAAAGCAACATCCATGTTGCTAAGTATCCCCATGAATGGATTTATAAAATCCTGCACATGGTCTTTTACATTTCATGATCAGAACTGTTCCTGGAGAGGTGCAGAATCCTACCCCTCCTCTGGATTGGATTCTAGGCATTGATGGCCCTCCAGCGGTCACTATCAATACTGTTAATGCTACCCACAGGATAAGGGCCTGAGGCGACATCATCCAAGTAGGACCCCGAGGTATCTATCTGTGTGCTGGAGTAGAATCCAGGTTCATGACCATCTTTCTTGCCCACACCATAGGTCGGGGGAAGGTGAACATCTGTGTCATCAGGCTCATCGATCTGGGATTTGTAGGAAAACAGGATCTTTGGCTCTGATCTGGAGAAGGAAATGAGAGATAAATACTTATTCTTGCCAGAGTAAGATTCAAAGCTGTGACTTTATCAAATGTTTTGCTTGTGCAATAGGTTTTAATGATGTCTATTCTATGCAATAGAACAGATAATGATTATGAACATTAAAACAAATACACTTTTACTGTAGGTAGGGAACGAATCTACTGTTCGACCCTACATTTTCATATAAAGGGAGAACACATAAAATTGGACATCTTTATGCTACACCTTTCATTCAACATGACTAATTTTACAAGTTTTTGATGTCAACTGTTACATAGCTTCAATGAGTTTTTGTAAACCCATTTCACATTAAGAAATGATTTAAAGAATTTGGGGGATTCAGACTTCAAGTATGAGTTTTTGTACTGTTAGATGAGCAATAGCTTAGTAATGCATGTCTCCAAGAATCCACATCTATATAAGCATGAGAAGCTCCATTCTGGCCTTGAAAAGCACCACGATGACATTTTTATATTTCGGGATTAGAAAGAATCACCAATGATGAGTGCATTTCAAACCACATTAAAAATAAACTGTACACAGCAACTTGTAAAACCTCCAATTGACATCACAAAATACACTAAATTTCCAGGTAATGTATGTGCAACACCATGTTCTGTGACTCAGAACAAGGCAACAAAACGGACATGTTGCAGCTTTACTTCATTGTGAATACATGTCTTTTAATTCAATAAAAATATTGCATATCTGCATGCAGATCACACTGGAACATTTCTGTGGTGAAATGCCTGCTGTGCACCCTGTACTTATTTGTACATCACATTACATTAGTTATTATGTTGACAGGCGAGCAGGAAGGGCCGCATCACATTGCAATTCAGAACTCAAAGTTTGCGACAAAACGTCAGCTTAAAGTACTTTTACAAAGTTCCAGATTTCGTGTGTAATTCAAAATTTGTAAAATTTTCTACAATGTCGATTAATTTATTCTGTAACCAAGATTTAATAACCGGTCTAAGAAATTGGAACTGCAGTTTCCCTTTAAGGACCACTGCCCAGGATGTCTTATAGGTCTCTGTAAATATCCAGATTCCTAAGAACAAGGAAAGGCTATTAGCAAACAACCAAGTAAATAATGAGTTCAATAGGCGATTGTGGGTTCAGGTGAAACCTTTAGTCCCTCCAGGATTAGAGTTGTGCACTCTTTGATATAAACTATTAAATGAAGGTAATGATGATAAATAATAAAAGCCTTAACGTATCATACATTAAACCTTAACATACACATTAAACAAACCAAAAGGGACACTCTACATACCCAAAAAATCCTTTCAAGAATGTCACGTAGATCAGGGGAGCAAACACGGAAAAATATAGGAACGTAGTCACGTCAACGCAGCTGTTAAAACAGACCCCAAAACAACAAAAAAGTTAGACCTTACAGAATCACATGATCCGGAAATTGTAAAGTTCTGTTTTAAAGCAATTGAATCCATGGGCCTAGTTTCATTCATCAAAAGAATTTTATAAAACAAAGCAATAACTATTTTTTGTCACTGCCTCATCAGGAATTTTTATCCATAACCTTACTCTTACAAATCCATGTCCTTCAGTTCTACGCCACATTGCAGCTAATGTGGTTAAATGATTACATTTTGCTATCCAGCACTTATCAAGTAATTTTATAAAGCCTTTGGAATTCTATAAATGCAAGCCTAGATACTACTTCAGTTAATTAATCACATACATCATGCTGTGTTGTGGTTCTCATTAATACTATATTTTTTCTAGGTATAGTAATAAATACAGCGCAAAATCGCTTAAAACAAACATGAGTCCTTTCTGCTGGAGAGTGGGAGTAAGACGACAGCGATTAGACCTCAACAAATACATACCAGAGTCCTTCTGTGATATCCGCACACAGTAATGCACTGCCCAGACCCTGTACTAGGTTCAGCAATGACAGGATACCAGCATATACATAAAAACTCTTCTTGGCTGCAAAATACACAGGCCTCATTCATTGTACAAGGCATCATGTTTTATGCGGTTCTACAACTGCAACTCCATATCATGTCATTTCTAGCTGTAAGTTAACTCTAAACTATCTGGCATAGCATAATGGCATAGTTAGCATGTTCTTCTTACATGTAAAAGACTGATGAAGTATACAAATGAAGTATGTTTGATGAAGTATACAAATGCGGTCTTTGTCCCACAAGGTAATGTATGTTACTTATAAAATAAAGACAGAAATATTGTATATAAGATACCATTGCAAATATTGTCTAAATCTTAATAAGTGTTAACGGAATAGAACCCATTTAAAAGCATGCAACGCATTTTAATTCAAAAGCCAGCAGGATACAACTGCTGTCACTGCAGCAATAAGTGAAGTATGTTACCTCCTGGTCAAAATATTTCATTGTTAATTTTTAAATATAAACTGCACTGGCTGTTAATTGCTGCTTTAATTTACATTTTTAAATACTTTGCACTCCAAATTCAGGACACTACCATCATCTTGGTCAAATATGTGAACTGATACTCACATGGAAGAGATATTCTTTCCTTTAAAGGTGTTTTTGGAAGGATGACTATCAGGGAATAGATCTGTAAGGCAAAAAAACTTTGAATCCCTCCAAGCAGCTTATGTAGGTTTTCTGATGTTCTTACCCAAAAAAAACACTTTAAGCAAAATGACTTTATTAACAGAAAAATGTATTTTTATTTGCTAATTAACTAATTAATTTTCTCTTTCAGGACCGAAAATCTGATTTATTTCTCAGCTGTGTGAATGCTGTCAACTGAATACTCCTGGGAGTTAAAAAAACAACATACATATAAGCTTCCTGCAGTTTAGAGACCCACACTATAACAATATGACATACTTTATTGAAGTGCAATTATCAATTATTCCTAAGGTACATGGTAGTGAAGTATCAAACATATCAGTGTCACTACATTGAAGTGCAATTTTCTTGTACTTCCTAAACATAAAAATAAAGCACAATAATCTGCAGTAAAAAATGTTTAGTTAAATAATAGTTTATAATATAATATTTCTCCTTCATATATTTGAATTGGGTATTCCAATAGCAATCGGTATCCCCAGCCTTTGATTCTCAGTACCAGGAAGAAGAAGCAGGAACTAGCAAGCCAGAAATGTCTTCCTCCATGGCCATAGATGTTAAAGTCCTCTGCTGAGAGATGGACATCTGGGTACAGGATCTCTAAGGTCCCCTGAAGACATCAAGACAAAGTCAGATTTATGTAGTACACCACCCCAAAGTGACTACCTGCAGTCCTCTCTCCTCTGGATGTACTGATATTCATATTTCCTAAGTAATACCCTTTAATACTTCATTTTAAGCCTGGTTAAGTCACTTTGATTCAGTCACTTTTCAAAGCCCAAAGCTGTTTAGAATCATTCCAGATTGAACTGTACAAACAACTCACCATGTTGTATGTGTGTATTGTGCAATTATACCCAGTCACTGATTAAAAGCTTTTACAGTGTAGTGAAAAAAAGTTACCAAAGGAAAGCAAATATTTTTGGTGGGTACTCACAAGAACTCTAGAGACATAAACACTGGATGAACCTTTATTCCCAAAAATCTGCTATACCTGAGTGATAGAATAGGCCAGTGCCAGCACAGCAGTGATCGCTAAGACACGCTTTATGCTTGATTTGCTTTCAAGGTGACCTGTAAACAGAGAGTAAAGAACAGTATTAATGGGTGTTAATACAAGTGTGCACATAAAACAGTTTGCTAATGCTTTTGGAGTTTGTTTGATGAATTAGCATAAACAAAAGAAAACCTAATGGATGTACTGTAACAGAGATAAAAACCATTCTGATTTTCTCCAAAAATATAATACAACAAATAATATGACCAGTAAATAATTAAGAAATAACTTTACTAACATGAAATACCTGTCGGATGTATTATTTTTTCACTCTTTTACACTTGTAACGTTGCCAATTGCGAGACCTACCAAAAGCAAGACCTAGTATGATAACACTGAGCTCAATGGCAAGCAGGAAGAATCGTGTTATCTCCCAAAGAACCTGCAAAAACAAGGGTTTGAGCAAATATCAGTTTCTCACCTAAGAGCTATGAAGTGGTCAGTAAAAAAAGCAGTTTTACTGTTAATGCTTTTTACAAGGACTGCAAGGTAAAATCAGGGTAAAAGGCAAAAGGAACAAAGCCAAACACAATCATTACACTCTAGAGTTGCATCTCACCATTTAGTGCAACAGAGTTACAAACGTAAAACAAATACTTCTCAGATTAAGCTACATAGGTCACATATAAAAGTTCATATCCACTGCTGAACGCACCTGATTAGATACTACCCAAAACAAATTCACAGTGAGGGATGTGCACTACCTTGTCAATGATGGTAGCTGCACTAGAAGCACTAACAGTCATGGAGACTACAGCACGGGTAATTCCAACAGCAGCTACGACGAACACCTGGAAGTGAAAGACAAGAGCTGGTTACCCAGAAGTCAGTGAACCCTTTGTATCTGTCCAACCACTCAGGCAAATCATCATTCTAAAGAGCTAAAGTTCTGCAGGCACGATAAACAAACACAGTACATCTTGTTAATATATTGCAGTAGTTCAGGTGGGTAGAGGTTCACTCACACCTGAAGAAGGCTCCACGGCTGAACTTACTTGTTCCTTTGTAAATATATTTATTTCAATCTTCCATAAAGACATCTGTGTCACCATATACATCTTTACAGCACAAGGAAATATAATGCCTAATTGCTTGCCAGCTATATACAAGATCTATACATCAGAGACAACAATCTAGGAAAGCAACATCACTTCTGTCCTGACTTGTAAAATCAATATTTATGCTCATCCTTCACTTCTAGAGTAAAGACAGGTTCTAACTAAAAAAAAAAATCACATGAACCTCTTGTCCAAAAGTAAAGCCTAGCAACAGTGTGGACATTTTGTTTCAGTTGCTGAGAAAAGTATTTTGGGATATCCAGTTCACGGCTGGGAGTTTAACAGAGAGATTATTTTATCGTTTTAAATGGGGATTCAAAAATGTCATAAACAGCACCTCTGAATTCAAAACCTTTGAAAGAAAATGGCTAAGCCTTACTGACTTAAAGGATTAATTCGTATTACATTTCTTATTTTTTTATTGTGCTCACCAGTATATAAAAAGTAATAAAAATGGGACTGGAAGTAATACGGATCTTGGCTCGGGCAGATGGCAGCTTCCAGACCAGAAACGCAAAGAATGCCACATTCGGGATAAGAAGAAGAAGATCCCAGAATCGAACTCTGCAAAGGAAGTGGCAGTAAAGGGAATAGAGGAGTTAGACACAAGAAGAATAAAATACAATTTAACAATGTAAAAATTAAAAAAAAAACATTGCTTGATTGACCCCATGGTTGAGGGAGAGGCATCTTGTGGTTTCTGGCCTTTTTAAAATAAACTGATAACTTGACTGCTTAAGAAAACACCTTTAACAAATTCATCTGAGGCATGACTGGAATTCATCAGAACAGCAAACTATGGAAGAATCCAGCTAGTCTAACGCTTCAACTTAATCTGACTTACTCAAACTAATCCGGACGAGTTACATGCATGATTTATTGCACTCTTCCTACCCAAGAAAGCCCTGTCAACACTTTTTCTTCCAGAAAACAAGAGAAGAAAAAAGCCTGTTGGTTTTGGCTACACATTCATGCATAAAATCCTTACTCATTTTCCATCACTCACCAGGCTGAAATTGAGGAAACTCACCTGGAGTCGCCGATGTCTTCAAACAGAATCTGAAGGCACTTGTGTGGCTTGGAGATGTTAGCTCCGGGGTCTGGCTGCCATGTTGGGGACACAGAGCTGTTCTCGATTGCTGGTAGCAGGGTTAAGCTTTCACCTCCATAGTCAGCAAACCTCACCACTGTGTTCGCAGCCTCCAACATCCTGCAACTGTCCTGCCTGATGACACCAACAGCGCACACTTAGTGACCCACTCAGAATACTGGTTCCACCAGGATGGGACACTTTTCTAGGCATTTGTGGTTTTAAGTAGGACAGCAAATCTAAAGTAGGACATTCATCCAGATATCCATATATACATGTATATAGGTGTCATGCTTACTATTATTTTTAGAGTATTAAAATTTATGAACTAGAAAATGTATGAACTAATGTAAAAATAGCAAGTTAATGTCATTACACAGAAATACAGCAGATATTACATTATTCACGTTTCCTCCATTTCAAAACATTCTTAAAAAGTCGAAGGTGTTTTGAAAGCAAATTTGCTCATACCTGGATCAAATTTGCCCTAAATGAAAACATCCCCAAATCAACGGTATCATCCCTTTGAATTCTATTCAAGTAGTGACCCCTGTAAAACATTATGGGCTTTTGCTGTGGTAAAAAAACATATAGCAATCACATTAAATATTGTGGCCTTTTCACAGTAGGGGGGGGATTATTTCAGTTAATTTACATCCAGTAAATGATCAATTCTATGAGGCATCCACCTTGCATACACAAAACTTATAAAACAGTTTTTTTTTGGTTGCAGTCATCATGGTTGCAGTCAACCTTTAGTTAAATCCAGGTAACTCCACATACATGAACATATAAGAAAATGTCCTTCCAAAAACAAACTGATGGCTGTATCTTATCCATTGTTTGCAGAGAAACAATGGAAGCAAACTACTTAAGGTCAGTAGTTCCAACAGGAAAAAGGAGAAAATGATATGCAAAGAAAGCCATTCACCCAGAAACCATCTATTCCATAACGGAGCCTACCTATTACAAGAAAGTTTTAGCTTCACAAATCATATTCCCTTATGACTGCACTGACAGATCACATGAATTCCTTTAAGGAGGTCAAAACCTCAAACAAGAAATGAAAATGTAAGGCAACACCTAGTAAAAAAACGCTCAACTACTGCAATGGGATATAAAATCACACTGTATCGATCGACACCCTACAAACTACAACAGGTTAAAAGCACATATTGCTCCTCTACTACAGTGTATCCTTACAATGACTACCTTACATTATATCATGCTCACTCATACTAGTTGCAAGGAAGATGGTTTTATTTTTTTATGCATAGTAGTTGAAACTTTCACTCACAGGCAAACATTTCTACCCTTTAATAGAGCTTGGAAATCACTGGAGCAGTCTGAATGAAGCACCTTGCTGAATAATCCCAATTGGGATTTGAACCTACAACCTTTCAGGTACAAGTCCAGAGCCCTGACCAATACTCCACAATATTTTGTCCTTCTTAAAAAACAAAATATGTCAAATTACAGTTAACAGGTCACCTTTACACAACTTTCTTTATCTTCATCAGTCGGAATCAATATTCATCATTGAATCAAATTCTGAGAAACTGAATTCAGAGTGAATTTGAGGGTCTAGAAAGCTACACATATCTAAGATAAGATTTTATTGTCCCCTGAGGAAATTGTTTTATGGACACACAGCACTCCTGTACATTTAAATAGAATGCAGACAAAAAAAAAAAAGAAAAGAAAAACATTGCACATTATTCTATTTAAAAGATAAACGTTATACATCTCTCTATTGCACATGTATAACACATACTGTAACAACATGTAACATTTATAAACACATCACAAAACATATTGCACTCAAGTGGGTTGTAAGAGTCAAAATTGTGTTTACCCTTGACATTTGCGTTGAAAGTCTTGGTGAATAGTGGAACAAAGGAATGCTGATGTTACTACTTGTTAAATCTACTTGTTACTACATCTATGAAAGTAATATACAGTTTCTCCCCTGACCTACCGCACCCTGACAAACCCTTTTAAGTGTAAAATCCAGCACACTACCACACACCTTGTCTAACTCAGTGTCCTTTAGGCTGCTGACTGATAGGCAAACAGCTGTTATACCACTGGTCCTCAAATTCTTCACACTGCAAATTCCTGCCAGCAGCAACAGTCCCTGCACTCGTATATTTGAGTGACATTCATATTTTAAGAAGGCGGGGGGGGCAAACTCTTTCTCTCATTTTTGGCACTCTGCCGAAACTAACCTTGCTGTGGTCAAATGACTTGAAACAGCATACAGGGGAGATGACGATAAAGATAGTGCTGTTTACTTCAGCTTCCCCCAAAAAAGTCAGGGACACATACAGTATATGCCCGTGTACTTTGAGGACCACAGTTTCTACACAAATGCTCCTCCTGTATATGTTTTTGCAGTACACCACAATCCACTGCCTATACAGTATGTTTCCATCAAAACAAGGCCTGGAGAAAGATGTTTCTCTTGCCTCCCGAGCTTCATCGTTTACATTTACACAGCAAAGTAAAAATATCACATGTTTGGGAACTGGAGATTCCCTAAGAACCCAGAGTGGTCTCAGCCTGCCAGTTATGGTTTCTGAATGACTGCTTGGTTTACAGATATTTGTCTTTGCTTTATTGGGTAATTTTATTAATCCTTTATCTAGTCATCGTTTTTTATTAAGAAGAAATAAAACACCTTCTAAATTAAAAGTGACATGGACACTGTTGGGGTTCCTTATTTACTATACAGTAAGTTAAACAGCATTAGAATGTTTTCTTGTGCCGCAACAAAGTCGTGCAATGTAACACTTCGTGCAACAGGCCCTATTTCATGAAGCTCGTTCCTACAATGCTAAACTGTCCACACGTCTTGAAAAATATAAACACAGTACACATCGTGTTACAAATCAAAAAGCATTGACTGGTATCTACTGGTGCCTGTGCATGGTACTACTACCGTCAAGTTCATAACTCCATACTATGGACCATATTGACCATCTTATTACAGCACCACATGTAAACAGACCGTTTACATTCTACCATTATAACCAACCAATATCTGCTCGGATAATAAGAAAAGAGCTGCTATTTTTTTTTACTGAAACAAACTGGAAATTCCACTTCAGATACAGTAAATATGTTTTGATAAACTGATGTCGCCTTTGACCTCAAGGTGACAATCCTCATTTTCATGCACATAACGCATCACGTAACACAAAAAAGGCTATTACCAGCCCTAAATAATAACAACCTTGGTCTCCCAAACCGTGAGAATCAAAAAGTTATTATCGGGTCTCTTTGGTGAGGAAACCAGTCGTCTTTATTTGCAATAAAAAGAATGCACACGTGAAATAACTATTTCTCAATTTTGAAGAGAAACAAGAAATTACCCAAATAAACTGCGCCAACCACATAAAACACTACTGTCATTTCATACTGACAATGAACATGTGAACAATGAATAAACAATGTTATGGTCTTAGCATTCAGTGAAATCTATTAAACGCCTCATAACGAATTGGGAGATTTATGTAAAAATACGAAACTAGAATATCACCTACAAACTATTTTCACTTCCTCGAAAGGATGAAAACTACATTTGACAAGGACCACGGTTCTAGTTTTTTGCAATCCCCTTGATAATAACTATGAATACTGTAGGAATGCAGTGGGTATGAATCGGACTTTAATTAATATATAAGAGCTCAGTTCTTATTTTATATCAAATGTAAAGAAGAAGAGCAGTAAGATTGATATTCCCTATAACACACAACTGTGTTTCAATATTCAGTCATGTGCATCGTAATATATGATTATGTTGCTAGTACTACTTAAAAACCTCAGAAAACCCTAACACGTTTCCAGCGAGTATACTTACTAACGTGAGTCCTTTTTACATTAGATTCAAAAGCGGGACCTCTTCCACTGCCGAATGCATTAAAACAGAAAACGCTGAAACAAAATAATAATTGGAAAAAAAAAATTGTCACCTGATTTCATTTGCTTTCCCTTCCTCGGTGAATAGTAGGGACTTCCTTCCCCCCAGAAAAAGACTCAGGGAGCGTCTGAAAAGAAACAGACTGTTAAAAAATAGTCCGGTTTTTACGAAATGGTCATGAATTTCACTAAATTCCTGTTTATTCGGAAATTATTTTTAAATAATCCTCCAGGAATGTTAATTTACATTACTCCATGGTAAATCGAGCAAGACATTTACAGTTCGACTGATAGCGAACATGACAACTACTTGCTTTTCCTGAAAATCATATATTTCACCATGAACCATTCCAACATTGTTTGGGTTCTCGTTTGATATAATATAAATGACACAGACTGCGCATCCTAGAAGAACAAAACTGGGTACATTATTAAGGTCACAGTGCGTTACACTAAGTAAGCATTGCCTTTTGGTATACAGGAATATTAATGTAATATAAGATGTAATATATATAAACTGGCGTGCTACGTACTATACACAAACTGCAATGTATTTTGTATTCCCCTGTGTTTGAAATAATTAGAAGAGGTTTTTAATCATATAAACTCTAATGTTAAAGACGTTAAACTGACTTAATTGTGACCTTATATACAACTGCCTTCCATTTTATGCAGGCCGGGGGGGATTATATAATGTAAAATGGCGTGTTGCATGGTGGGAATGGTAGTCTTTCGTGTTCAGAAATTAATTTAAATTCGTCAGTATTGTTGAGTTGGTTTCATGCGTTAAATTCAAGTGTTCACAGTTATGAATGCTAATTCAGCGCCCCAGGGATATACTACATTATTACATTTTTTCGGAATAATTTGATTTCACCGGCGACACATTTAGTTCAGTTTTGTTTAATACTAGGCTGTTGAATTCGAATTAAAACTATGCGCATATTGTATAACAACTGTACTGCGCCACATGAGAAACAGTACATATTACATTTTTGGTCTTTATAAAAAGACCAAGACCGTTTAAATACGAATTTAAGAAATTGGAGTACATTTTAAAAGACGTCGAAGCAGCCTGCAAATTAGACACGACCTTTTAGTCAGGTTCTGTCAGGTTCTAGTCCTCTTTTTGTCTTCCTTTTAAAAGTACACACAAGACGTAACATTTTATGTTTCTAGGCTATGTACAGCACTGTCTCCTTACATTAATTAGTTCATAATTAACAGTGTTTTCATAATTATGGTTAAGTTCCTCATCAAATTTTAAACAAAATTGCTTGAAAGCCACTAAGTGCGAAGGTCTGAATAGTGGCTTTAAAAATTGCAGACCTTCACAAGGATGAATTTGTATGTCTAGAAATCTTTTAAAACCTAGGCTTAGAGCACAGTATTTTGCAAACTGAACAGGAAGCATACAAACAAATGTGGAAACAATCAAGTATTTTTTTTAAAAAAACTTTATTTTTATTGTTTTCTATAGAGTCAACATTGAGAAGCCCTTACCAGCAAAACAAAACAAACTGATTTTTATATTCATCACAACACCAGTTGAAAATTCAGTACATAAAAAGTATTTTTTTAACTTGCTTCCCTTTACCCTTGTTTAAAAGGGAAAACATCGCTTATGTCAAAATCATTTTGAAAACACCATATAATCAAGTTTCATTTCTGAATTAATTTCTGTAAGTTTGGTGCTTGGTGCATCTTGTCAATTGTGTAGGAGGCATTAATGCAAATGCCTTGGAGACAGAAGAATTATTCGCCACGCAGCCTTGAAAACAGAGCTGTACTGAATCCAAGGGAAAAAAAAGTATCCCTATTAGTAGATCATGGCCTTGAAACATTATTGTAGGAGGACTTTTCTGGCTCGTCTCTGAGCTGGCATATTCTCTCTGTAATACCCCCGCTGGAATGTTGAGTGTCTCTCTAGTCCATTCAGGCATGATTAGGGGAAAGCGACAAGAATGGCTATCCATTTGGTTCATTCCATTCCAAAGTATGCTGTCCAAGAGTCACTACATTCTTATCTGAGCTGGGAGATTGCGATTTATCCACATCCCGGTGGGTTAGCTGGGAGGCAGGGAGGGACACAGCTCGGTCTGAGGGGCAGATATAAAGCTGCCGTCGAGTGGATTTGCCTCTGCTCTCCTCTGTGGTTCTCTCATCGCCTTTGCTGTAACTAGGAGCCATTTGAGTGGCTTCTAACATGGACAACATTTACAAGGCAGCGGTAAGTAGAGCATTTAGGCATCTTTGAAGCCGGAGGTATTCTGGGAATCGACAGAAGCAGAAAGACAGAAATCATTGGGATTCAGAGAACAAAGATTGTAAGAATTCTCTTGGCAAAACATGGCATGTAACCTTTTTTAAACTCATGTATTATACCCAAATTAAACATACATTATAAAATCCATCAAGTTTACATAGCATGCTAAGAATATTATCTATAGAGTCAAATGGGTTTCTCCAACACAGCTGCTTTTTGTACTCAGTTTCTCCGGGTAACTCTTGTTTGGTAACAGGATGGTATGGTCATTTGTATTAGCTGGGTGTTTGCAGAAATCTGTCAAGTACTGCAGATACTCTTGTTTCATAATTACTTTGACATAGCCTAACAGTGTGGTTGGAATGGTAAACTCCATCCGAGAGAGTGTCATCTGAAAATAGAGCCGGGAAAGTGTTACATTAATACCACAGTGAAGCACACAAGTGCAAATAGCATAGTATTTCTGGATTGTGCGATGACTTCTATACTTAGTGGAATACAATCATTTATCCTGTGATGGAGTTTAGTTGATATGGGTCACAAAACATCTCTCACCTGTGCTGGGGAATTGTGCCACTCTATTTATTATTGAAAACCTCACTGCACTTGCACCGTGAAATCATTTTTTTAACGAAGATACTGTTATTCCAATTCTTTGCAATCACATTCAGTACCTTAACCAATAAAGAGATAAAAATAAATGCAGATTTGCTCATTGCTTCTGAGTGCAGTTGTACGTGATAATATTTAAAACATTTAAGATTAATATTGAGAATATTTTCCTCACTGTAGTTTTGCATGGGAAAGTACTAACGAATGTGATGTGCTTTAAGAATGTTGAAATAATTTGTTTTTCATTTACGGAAAAATCTGAAATGATAAAGATCATTGTGTGATGACTCCATCCATGCCTACAAATGGCAGGATCACCTCCAAAGGCTAATTTTGGCAAACCACTCAGACAGCTACGCTTTTGTCATGTATGGTCACAGTAGAAGAGCCTGTGATTTAGATAAAAACTTCAAGGCTAAATTCCAATGCTATCTGTCAGAGCCTGGGCAGCTACAAGATTGTCATTCAATTCCTCATTGCGTATAGTTGTATTAAAATGACAGTGCATATGCGCTGCATCCCCCTGACTGGCAAATCAGTAGAATTGTTCTTGGTAACCATAAAGTTTTGCAGCTGTCATTATTCTTGATTCTCTGTGGATGTTCCTGCAATTCCTGTTTCATTTTTCTAAACGCTTTAAAACACAACTTATGTTTCCTTTGTTTATGGTTTATTAATTTAATGTAGTTGTATGATGTAAAGTTCTGCTATTTTGTCAGCATTGATTATCTACAATCCATGTCTATCAGTGGTTGCTAAGGTCCTGTTTTTGCCAGGAATGTTTCCAGATGTACATGACATTACCATAGATGTCAATCTGACCTTAACATTTTTAAATCTGAACTGTGAACTTTAACCTGTATTCACCTTTCAAGTACATAATTCAGTTATGCTTATACTGTACATGCTCTTTACAGTATGCAGTGTTACTTTTTCAGTCATGCTGTTAGAGCCATTAATGCAGTTCATTAAACATTTTTGCCTAATTTAAATACAAAGTACAGGTGAATGTAAAGAGTTTATATACTGTAAGCCTACAAAGCCCATACACAAATCCATGTTTTAAGTTGTTTTATTTCTATTTCTGGAACAGGTTGAGCAGCTGACAGAGGAACAGAAAAGTGGTAGGTAGAAATTGCCTGTATCAACTCACAATGAAAAGTGAGTTGCAGTGGTGCTGTTCACTCTAGCTTTCTGTCAGAAGTTCCATTATTGCTTTCTGTCAGTAGACAATAGCAGTCCCAGAATGGGAGAAGAACAATTTGCCTTGATCTGTTTAGCCTAAGTGGATATCTATGGCTCCAAAATCAGCTTTAAGAGTATCATAACCTTTTGAGAGTCCTCATATTAAAGTCCCCACTGTGCAGAGTCAATCATAGGTGTAGCGCCATGCTACAATAATACAATGACAGAGACATCCACAACTGTTCCCATCTTAAGCTTTTCAACTTTGAACTTCAATAAACGTCTAATACAATGACCAGAGTTCCTGTTGCAGCCCAGAGAAACCCTAAGAGCTCGATTTTAAAATACAGAAAAGGACTAAAAAACAGGGTAATCGAAAACAACCTATAATTTATAAAACCGCAGTAGTGTGTTTGCATTTTTCTGAAATATTTTTACAATACACATTTTGTGAATTTACGCTCCTGTATGCCACTGCCCGTGTTTGCTTTTATCTAATCCTGAGTCCTCTCTGTTATAGAGTTCAGGGCTGCCTTTGACATCTTTGTACAGGATGCAGAGGACGGCTGTATCAGCACAAAGGAACTGGGGAAGGTCATGAGGATGCTCGGCCAGAATCCAACCCCGGAGGAGCTACAGGAAATGATAGATGAGGTGGATGAAGATGGTGAGATGTTCTGCATGTAGCACATGTTCATGACCTTAAATACATATTAATCAAGGAGGTGTGTGGGAAAGAGGTATGTGGGTTTGCTTGCAAGTCTAAGAATACTTTTATAAATAGTTATTGTTATGTTACCTTGGTCGTTATCCACTATACAGTAATCCAAGTTTAAATTACTGCGTAAATTCCACAGTTTTCAAAACCCACTTCAGAAATATACTGTATATCCTGATTTTCCCTCACCTACATAGAAGGCCACGGACTGGGATGTATGTTTCTCTTAGTTTCTCAGTAGTACTATACATCAGAAGTACAGAACTGAACGACACAAAAAAAAGGTTCTGGATCTATGTAGAAGCTCATATTATTAAATGAAAAAAATATCTCCAATTACAAAGTGCATATTATAAACCCATTACAGCACTTCATAGTAGATTTCCACTGGGGAGAAACCAGAAAATCCGAGTAGACAAAAAGCTGTTATGGAAAAAAGGCTTCTGAGTTTGCTATTACTGGGTGGGTCAAAGTTTTGATCTAATTTTGACCGAAGTATTACCATTTTCTTATTGTAGGGAGTGGAACAGTGGATTTTGATGAATTCTTAGTCATGATGGTCAGGTGTATGAAAGATGACAGCAAAGGCAAATCAGAAGAAGAACTTGCAGAACTCTTCCGAATGTTTGATAAGTAAGTGCTTGTTGTCAAAAGGGAATCTCTCAAAGAAATTTGTGTAACACAGTAGGTTAAAACCTACAAATAATGATTTATTAATGTTAATATTAATCTATTTTATCAACGCTCAAATTACCATTAATTAAGGTCACATAAAATGCTAATGATATATTAATAGATACACTGTAGTTTACATGTTAATCCTAAAAGTAACCCTAACATTTACCTAACCAAATTACTACTGAATATTTATGGATGCTTTATTATCATTACGTAGAAACATAGAAACTCAAGTAATAGTACGTTGATGACATTCAATATCAACTGTATTCAATCTTTATTTATGCTTGACTGTGCTTGAATGGATGTGGTCATGTTGAGAATTGATTAGAGATTGTACTGTTTTTATGGGCTTTGATCATTTAAACCCATTCATGTATTCAGAGATGGCAAAGAGAAACCTTTTTTTGTAAATTCTGGATTTTTCCAAATCGGCTGCTTTTTGTGGATAATTGTAACAGAAACGCAGATGGCTACATCGACTTTGAAGAATTAAAGATAATGCTGGAAGCCACAGGGGAAGCCATTACTGAAGATGACATAGAAGAACTGATGAAAGATGGAGACAAAAACAATGATGGAAAGATCGATTACGACGGTAAGTATAGTATATATACTGTATATAAATCACCATTAATGGATTTAACATTTCACTCATTGGAAGCCAGAAGAATAATGGGATTGGTTGAGTTGCTTCCCACTGACAGTTTTGGCTTCCTTATCATCATAGGATGATAACAGTATAGTATTTGAGGAAACTGAAAAACAGAACGTACTGACTTCATAGCATAAAAGAATGAAACTTTTTTATGCTGGGGCTACACTCACAAGACAAGTGTTGTGTTGTATAAAGAGGGAGTCATTTTTTATTCCTACTGTATATCCAATGCATTTTTGAAAAAGAAACTTGAATCATGTTAGTCCCTTTTCTTTTTTTTGGGGTTCTGTAGAATTCCTGGAATTCATGAAAGGAGTGGAGTAAATATCACAAGGCCAACATGAAAATGTTATTTCTTCAAGTCCCTTGCTGTGATTTCTGTGTGTTCTTGTACCCGATTGGCATGGCATGAAGCTACCGAACTGACTAGAGAGGCCAACGCTGATCTTTTCTCTCCTGAGCGGAGAGGACATCCTCTTCCGTGTGAACTGAAGGAAAAGGATTCTGTATTTTTTGTTTGTTCTGGTAATGTAAATACAGTAAATGAGACGTGAAACAATATTTTCAATTTCTGGAATATAATATCTTTTTGGGATTTTAATAAAAGTTAATGTCAAAAATATGGTTTGTGGTTTCATGCTCATAACTAATGAATATATTGCATTTTGCATACAATTTACAATGTATAGCACTATCAAAATAATTTTAAAAAAAAGTTTTCCCAAGTGCTGTACTATCTTCATGGTTCCCATTTATCATACAGTAAATTGCTATGGTTTACTGAATTTATACAGGTTTATCATCAGTTTGGAGAATCTTTTAACCATTGCTTAATCTGATTTATGCCATTAATGACTTTGTTTCATGAGCAGATTTAAGTCTTAACATTCTTGCCTAATTTCCAATGACAACAAAAACCTTAAATGCAACAATAATTGTTTTTGAATGAATATATTTTTCTAATATGAGAATGTTGCATCTAATTATACAGTATATATAATGTATACTTATTTATACCACTGATTTAGAACTAAATTGAATAATTAAATAATAGTAACTCTCTAATAAAAACGTGAATTACTGAATAACAATTTTCACATCCTGGATGTCAATTTTTATTTAAAAAATATACAAAAAGTGCAGCACAATGAAAATATTTTTAAAATACAACATACTACTGGAAATTCTGTGTCCTACAAAATACAACTAAATAATAATGGTTGCATTATGACAAACACAATCAAGAAAGAATGATTTCACTGGCAATCATAAAACAACACTTCAATGTGGAGAGATAGACAGGGTTATATTATCATCCTAAAATAAACTATAGCTGCGCTGCATACTAATATTTTCCCACCCAAACCTTTGGTATCATAAAAGGTTGGTTTAATTAAAGGAGAGTTTACAAACCCTTGTTTTAGGGTCCCTTTTAATCTGACAGAATGGAAGAATGAGTTTACAATGTGTCTTTGTCTCCAGAGGCAAACTTGATTTTGTATTGTTCCTGCTCAACAGAATGTGACGACAAAAATGGAAGACCTATCCTTGAATGTGCAATGTTCACTTGCACTGTGCTGGGAATTGGATGTGATGTTTCTAACCATCTGTCCAACAGTCAAGCACAAGTTCCTGCAGGCACCTATCAATTACACTAAAATGAACTTGTCAGTTGTAGATATCCTCAGCTCTACTTTTGGACATTGACTGACTGTAGAGTCTTTCCTTCAAGGTTTCTACACAGAAGAAAGAGTTTTGTGTGCCTTTCAGGAATTGTGTATGACCTTGTTTGGCATAAATTATAAATTGCCTACTATGCTCCAGTTTCCTATAGTACCTCTTCCCAAAGACATGCAGGTTAGGAATGACTGGCTTTTGTAAATGATCCGTTTTAGGGGTCACAAGGAGATTTCATGTGTGGAAAAATACTGCCCAGGGAACCACAGAGAAATTCAGCCACATTAGATTAATAGGCTGAATGATCTTCTCTTATCTTTGACCTTTCTGATGTATAATTCCTATCCTGGCAAGCAACAGGCACAAAGCAAGGTAGGCCTTGGACAAAATCCCAGTCCATCAAGGCAGCCACACGAACACAGACAGACATGCTCACACCTAAAGCTAATTTTCCTAGAATCCAATTAATCCACCAATATGTTTTTGGATTTGGGGAGGAAAATGGAGCAACCACAGGAAACCCACATAAACATGAGGAGAACTTACAAAGTCCACACAGAAAGAAAATATAATTTTACTGTATATTATTTTTTTCAATATCTAGGAAATAAAATGTTTGGAGGTATAGATGACAGCCTTGGAAACTGAGCGTAAAAAGGTGTAGTCTTTTTCACAAAAACACAAATAAGATGCAATTAGGAGAACTTCAGGAGGGAAAGGATTTGTGATATAATGTAGTGATTTAAAGCTGCTTTTGAAAAATATATATTTTCCTTTGTCCAGAGCTCCAGCAAATATACCTGTGCGTGAAATCATTAAGAATCCTGTTTTCTTCCCGTGACACCAATGAAAGTTAAAAGCGTGGTAAAGCAGTATGAATCGGATTATTTAGAGAGCAATAACCCTCTAACAATGAGTACACAAGTCTAATTGAGAGATGTAAAAAATAGCTTTTTCCCTCTAGCTTTTGTAATTTAGATATCAGCCACTTCTAACCAGTAAACAAATCTTTCCCTGCCTTTTTGATGGTCTCAAATCACACCGCACTGAGATGTTAAGATTCTTCCTGACAACAATTCATCTCTCTAACTTTCTCTTCATCCAAGGAATTCCTTCTCCAGCCTCATTAGCAAGTCTGAATGCTTAGTGCAGTTGTTAAACAAATGTCAGCTATTAATAGACCAGGTGATAATAACCTAACATAACCTACAGGGCTGGAACTCATATACTGCAATGTTCTGCAATATGAAAGTGCATATTAATGTATACAATAACTATGGGTATTTTAAACTCCCGTTTTCCCTCAACGTCTTTGACATTATAGCTATTGAAAGAGGTTTTCTTCTATTGGCTAACACTTTTTTAACTACATGCCCACACAGTTATATAATGAATTAGGTAGGTCTCTCTGTATTTGAGCCACAACAACTCATCAATGCGGACACAATCCTGGTTTCCATGGCATTAAGAGATCAGAGAGGACAAGACTACCTCCTGGATGGATGGGAAGCCAGTCCAATGCAGAGCCTACCCCACCAGTCCCCATTCTTGCAGCTGGATGGTCTGGAGAAATTGGGCTAAACCTGTTCACTCAAGGTAAAACAGCCAGTGTCTTGAACCCAAAACCCACCACACTATGCAATACTGCTACCTAGCAAATGGATTAGGATAGAATAATACACATCTCAACAGACAACTGAATGCATCTTTAAATGTGTTAACATTTGTTTGTGCATAGGGGCTTTTCACAGTCCAGTGACGATTCTTTTGTCAGCTTAAATAGCAGTTCTTTAGAATTATGTGCAGTGTATGAAGTTTTCATGAAGTTAATATGAAGACATGACATTTTGATAAAAAAGCATCAATCCAATTTCAGAAAGCCACATATTCCATCTAAATGGAGATGGCAACTCAATAAAACATTTCCGAGTGAAATATTCAGGAAAGGGAACAAAGCTCCTGGGGGCTGAAGAAATTGATTTTTCAATTGCAGCTCAGGTGTGATGGTTTGTCTCCCCCTGCAGGGCTGCTGGCACTGTGGTCTGTAGCTGTGTGTGCTGTGGAGAGGTATCTGGTGGTATGCTGACCTTTTAAAGCCCTCAGTTTTGGGAAGCAGCATGCAGGATCTGCACTCCTGATCATTTGGCTACAGTCACTGGGATGGTCTCTTCTTCCTTTGCTGGGCTGGAGAGCATACAAACTGGATGGCAGCAGCTGGAGTTGTGCCCCCGTCTGGCACAGGCAAGACTTTAAGAGCCGTTGCTATCTCTTGTCAGTCTTCGCCAGCTGCTTTCTCATCCCCTTCTTTCACCTCACACTTTCTTACAGCACTTTACAACATGGAAAGACAATGTCCTGCATGCAACTAAGCCCTGACCTCTGCAATCAAAAAGAGAATCAAAACTTCTGAAATTTGCAATCATTAGGTTTGCATGATTTCTCTTTGGTAAAGTAGAATGTGAAATGATGAATAAGCTATATTGGGGAGATATATGTATTTCCCCTAATATATATAGGGGATATATATACTGTATACGGGAATATTAACGGAGATGCAAAAGGGTAATGCTACAGAAACATGATTACAAGTTATCTTGAGATGTTATCTTATGAGGGATAAAGAAACTATTCCTTCTCCACCAATAAGATAAGACCACTTTATCAGCCATATACAATTTCTTGTATTAGGAATGTATTCACATACCCCAACTTGCTCTCCATGAGACACACAGACAGGGAGAGAAGCTTGGGGTCAGAGCACAGGGTCAGACATTTATACTGCGCCCCTGGAGCAGTTGGGGTTAAGGGCCTTGCTCAGGGACCCACCAGAGTAGGATTCCTCTGCCAGCCGTGGGATATGAACTGGCAACCTTCCAGCCAAAGGCGCACAGCCTTAGCCACAGAGCCAATGCTCCGCCTCCATCAGATTTACCTTTTTTCAATAGAAGACTGACAAAAGTAAATATGATGGAGGGAAAGGGCTGCACCAAAAAAGGATGGAGGTTTTTTTCTAGGTTTGGGGATGCAAGCTATCTGGACTGCAATACAAAAACTAGACAAACAAATTCCAGTCTTTATCAGTTGGGAATGTAAATCCATTATTGCTCCTCCCCAGTGCCTCATTCTATCACTGACTGAGTTGGAAAGACAGCGCTATATTTAGAATAATTAAACTGAAGGATTGCTAAAGACGATCAAAGTTATGGGTCTTCGACAAGGGAGCCGCTGGTCTGAAGCAATCAGCAAATGTTTCAGAAGCTCTGTGACAGCTGCTCTTGTGTCCCTGAAAACGCTCGAGCAATTAACATATTTGATGCCAGACTCTTGTTCTCCAGTGCAGTTCAAAACAATAAAAAACAACCTTTAGGAGAAAGGAAACAAAGGCTTTCTTTGAAAACTCTCCGTCATTCAGAGTGGCTAACACACCACTGAGAGATTACTGACCAGAGCCGACACATGCTATACAGTTTAAAAATACACCAAAAGCATGATAAGCCAAAAACTAAAAGCTCATAACAATACAGGATGTACTGTAACTAGGCATGCTGAAATTCAGCACTTATAGGGTAGCAACAATACAGTACTAGATAGGACAGAGGAAGTGAAACGTTTTCTACAGATTACATAACTAAAGACATGGATGATAAAAACACATCAAATCTGTGGTAAATACATTCAATTCCTCTATCACATTTCAAATTCAATTTAGCTATATGCCTCTAGAGATACTATCAGCAAAGTAATTTAGGATGTGGCATTTCGCTATTTCAAGCACACTATTTAAAATTAACAGTACAAAGGAATTTTGCTTTATAAACTTGTATCACTCTTCTGTTAATTTATTTGGAGAGCTAAAGGAATGTGATAACATCTAACACATTAAAAAAAAACCTTGGGAGGCAAAGACAACATTCCTATTAATGAACTTGTTTCAGCACAATGTAA